CTCAGTCTCTCCCTCTCTATCGCTGAGCCTCTCTTCCTCTATCTCTTTCCCCGTCTCTCTATCTTTCCTTCTCGTTCAGTCTCTCTCTTTTTCAGTCTATCTCTCTCACACGCTCTCTATGTCTTTTTCACTCAGACTCTCTCCCTCTCACAGTCTGCATCTCTCTCAGACTCTAAGTCTCTTTCTCTGTCTCAGACTCTCTATATGCCAGTCACTCTCTATCAGTCTGTCTCTCTCTCTCCTTCAATCTCACTCTCTCTCTACCAGTCTGTCTCCCTCGCATTCGTAGTCTCTGTTGCACTCTCAGTATCTTTCGTTCTCCCACTATCCGTCTCTCAAGCTCTCTGACCCTCAGTATCTCCTTCTCAATCTGTCTCAGACTATGTCCGGGTAGGCACAAAAAATACTGATTTAATACGACCCGGTATAGCATCCATCTTTATCTGTAGTGAGGGTACAGCAACAAAATGGACAACATCCTCAGACAAACACAGGCATAAAGCTTATAAATCTAACGCATAAAAACGCCTACATGCAGCACATAGACTTAGCTTAAATATTAATACACAAATTCAAGCAACTAAGCAATAATATTCAACCAATCGCGCGTATCCACAACCGCCGTTCACGAACTCCTCTTCGCCGACGACTGCGCCCTGAACACCACCTCGGAAGAGGAGATGCAACGGAGCATGGACCTGTTCTCCGCCGCCTGCGAGAACTTCGGTCTGGTCATTAGCACGCAGAAGACGGTGGTAATGCACCAATCACCACCCAACACCGCCACAGCCCCCAACGTGCCGCCGCAAGTCAGCGTGAACGGAACCCAACTGCAAGTGCTGGAGAACTTCCCGTGCCTGAGCCGTACCCTCTCCCGCAACACCAAGATCGACGACGAAGTCGCCAACAGGATCTCGAAAGCCAGTCAAACCTTCGGCCGCCTCCAAAGCACAGTTTGGAATTGCCACGGTCTTCAACTGAACGCGAAGCTGAAGATGTACAAGGCCGTCATCCTGCCGACACTACTGTATGGAGCGGAGTCTTGGACGGTGTACGCAAAGCAGGCACGCCGTCTGAACCACTTCCACCTCAGTTGTCTTCGTCGCATTCTGAGGCTGAACTGGCAGGATCGCATTCCCGACAATGATGTTCTGGAACGAACGGGAATCCTGAGCGTCTAGTCCATGCTAAGACAAATGCAGCTGCGTTGGAGCGGTCACCTAGTCCGCATGGACGACGAGCGACTACCCAAACGACTCTTCTACGGAGACGTCGCGACGGGTTCTCGTCGTCAAGGCGGCCAGATTCGCCGTTACACGGATACCCTGAAGTCCTTCCTAAAGCGCCTGCAAATCAACCCGACCAACATGTAGGAGCTCGCACTCGATCGACCGACCTGGAGGAGGACGGTGAAGCCAGACGCTGCGATCTACGAAGCCAAACGCATCGCTGCCGCCAAAGCGAAACGCGAAGCCCGCAAATCACAATCTCACCCAGTACGCAACGCCGCCGCACAACCGCTTCCAACGTGTCCTCGATGTCAACGGACATTCCGGGCTCGAATCGGACTTGCTGGACATCTTCGGATAAACTGCGCCTCTCGAACTGCACCAAACATCGTCCCCCCGCCTCTTCCTCGTCCTCTCCGCCGCCAACTAACTCTGACACTTATTCTGACCCACCACTCCCATCCTCCTCCTTCTCCTCCTCCTCCTCCACTGCTCCAACGACGGCCGCTCAGGCGACCGTCCCCCGCGCAACAACCGACACAGACACAACCACCTCCCTCGACTCCAGCGATGAGGATCAGGATTACACCTGCCCTCAATGCGACCGCACCTTC